CACGGTAATGATGAGAACCATCGTAACCGCCAATGGTGACACTCCGCTCGTATTCATCGACCGTGGGATCAAAACAATTGCCGAATTTATCGGAAACATTTCTTAAAGGCAGTATTGAAGTCCTGAGTAGACAAACATTTCGGTCGCAGACCATGGACATTCCAACAGGACTCAGCACCATCAAACTCAGCACGCGTCAAGCGAAAATGGCTTAAAAAAGAGGTTTTCGCTTCATGTCCATCGAACAATGGCCACCAAAATCTCTGAAACTAAATCCGTTAGACTTTTGTGCCTGGGGCATTTTGAAAAGTAAGGTTTGCACTAAAAAATACCAAATTGTCGATCACCTCTACTAGGCGCCTCGCCAGGAATGGGCCAAAATACCCCAGAGCCACTTTCGTGCAACTTGCGGTGGCTTTCCGGCCGTTTGAAAGCCATAATTCGTGCCGAATAAATTCTAAAATTTTATATTATTTTCGACATTTTTTATTTTAAACAATAAAATTTAGAATTAAAATGAAAAACTCCCAAAAAATAGATAAATTATAAAAAATAGTTTATTGCTATGAAGGAAGTGAAAATAAATGAAATTTCGGAGCGTGTTGCTTCTGCTGCTGCCAACGTTAGCAGATCGTCTTTTCAATGCATCATTACATCCCTGAAAACAGAGAGGTCACGGCAGAAGCAGCACAGCGTCAAAAATCGAAGTACCAGCGAAAATTTACAAGAAAGCCAGTACTTCACAATCAGCTCTGAAAAAAGGAAAAAAGAAAGTTTTCGGAAGACTTTCAATGATTTGCAATAAATTGATGCCGGCAAGGCTGACAAGAAAAAACTCAATGAGTGCTATAACTGCGACAGACCCTTCCCAGTTGAAGTGCGTCGATATGACTTCACGAGCGCCACTTGTGCTAACAATCTGTGCTTAATTATTGTAAAATGCTTTTTTCAAAAATTTTATGATTTCAACTTTATTGTTTCTTTTCAGACATTAAATGAACATTATTATTGAATTCTGTTTTTTCTATTTCTAACCCTCATTTCATGTCAACTATTTTGAATATTGCAAGTTTGACAACGGATTCGTAATCAGCGCATTTAAAAACCGTCAGGGTAAGAATTTGTGGAAACTCCCTTTCATATACGTGTAATATATAGATACACTTCCAAACATAATTGCAAGCATCTCTTATGATAAAATGTTGCGTTTTGTAATACCCCTGTAATTAAAAAATAATCCAGAAATTTTCGTTTCTAAGCATTGTTGTACAATCAAAAATAAAATTGTGGTCCACAGCGCCATGCTATTAATATACTTGATAAAGTAATATCAATTATTATGTACATGATATATGTAATTAATCGTGCTAGTAATTTCTTACAGAAGATGGTTTGAAAAAACAGTGTATTAAGTTTCTTAACCTTCCGTCGGTCGGATATTTTTTCACCTTCGAACGGTCGGAAAGGTCTGGCTGGACCACCATTCATTTTACATTCATTTATATGTGATATATGAGTTTTTGGTGTCTTATATATTAACGATTATTAGTAGTAAATATTTATAGTTTTGATTTTTCTTTTTCTTACCGTCTTTTGCATGTGTTGAGCTTGCTTATAATAAAAATATTACATATTATATTATATAAAAAAAATCAAGAAATATAAAAAAATCGTTGCTTTTTTGTTAATTTTTCTGTTTTATATCCATGAAAAACAATATTTATTCTTTTTCGGCACCTTTGAAATGAATGTGAAATTCAAATGAAAACGAAATGAAGTGCGTCGCCTTTGGAATGAGCTGTAAAATTCAAAGTGAAAATATAATTTCACTACAGGTTTGCCAAAAAAAATTTCGAACGCAGTACGGGTAGAAAAATTGTTGATAATGTGTGCATTACTCATCCGATTTCAGAGTTTGCGATTACCAATAAGTTTGGTAGGTTTTCAAGGAACTCTAGTCATGAAAATACTAACATTCATGTTACAACACATAGCAAAGAATATATACAACGCAGTTTGAATAGAAAATACCATAAAAAGATAAAATACTGGTTTACATATATCAAAAATCTTATATTTTATACAAAATGTATGGGTGGTCTAGACAGACCTTTCCGACCGTTTGAAGTATAAAAAAGTTAATATCCTTATAATTATCCTTCTGTACATTTTTTCGTCCTGATTTTTTCATTGATCGACAGCTAATGAAATTTTAGGAAAAATCAAGAAATTTCAAGTCGATAGGATTACTAGAAGTATTTTTTTTTAATTGAAGTCGAAAAAAGTCTGGCCAGACCACGCCGACCGACGGAGGGTTAAAAAAATGATTTGACGTTTTTCATGAAATTTAATATGGCGTGAAGTTTAATTGTTTTTGGGAGATATGAATTGGAAATACTAATGTTTAGATTTAAGTGAAAGCGAAAATTTTATTTCCGAAATAAACAGTTCAAAATTTTATCTAAATATATAAATCTCAATTTCGGTTGAATAAGTCAATTATTGCATCTATCGGGAAGTTTTTGCAACCTTTCTTAAGGCAAAATGCTACTTTCAACTAGCTTTTGTTTGTCGTGCCTATATATCCAGTTTAACAAGATAAACGATCCAGTTACAAACGTTTGAAACAAACTCAATTTTATATGTTCCAATAACAATGGTAGCGTTTCAAGTTTCACAAAGTACATTCTACTAATGTTAATTTATTGTTATTATTATGGAACATGACTATACTGGTAGGTTTCACTGTAGTGAAAAAGAAGTATTAATTCGAATTTTCAAAATTAAGAAATAACTTTTTTTGAATATTTAAAAAAATGCGAATATTTTTGATATCTGAAAAAAATTGAAATAAAAATATTATTTTACAAATTTTTGAAAAGTTTAAAAAAGTTCGACATATTAATTTTTTTGAAAGTGGAAAAAACGCATATTAAGCTCACACAAGATAATGTGCTGTTTGTTGTGGTGAAGCCTTAAAAAATAGCTGTGTCAAAATTGGTTCGCAAATGTCATTGTGGTGCTTTATCACCCCAAGATGAAAAAACGCATCTTAACTTAAGCGCTTAAGGCATTGCGTGCTGTTTGTTGCAAAAAAACATTAAAAAAATATATGTGTCAAAATTGGTTTCTAAATATCATTCTGGTGATTTTTCATTCAAAGATGAAAAACGCTCTTTGCCATCCAGTTGAAGTCGATTACGACCTCAAAGTGCTATGTGTCATCTAAAGCAATTTGGTCATGTTTAAAAACTCAATAGATGAGTTTCTAATAATAAATTGGGAATTGATAGAGACGTGTTTAACACAATGCATTAGAAGCTGCGATTTGCTAAAAAAACATAATGAAAATAATCCATTTTTGGAACGACTTCTAACTTTGATGAAAATAAATTATGTATATACAATAATATCAAGTGGAAAAACTGAAAATATTGAAAAGCAGGCTAGTGAAACAGCTCAAACATCAAAATCTGATAGTCATTAAAAAAAGATTTTGGTCTGTTTGGTGGAATCATAAAAGAATAGTTTGCTCTGAGCGAAGTAAGAATAAATAAATTAACAATTATCTATACCATATCTAACTAAACTCACATATTTAGTACTGTGTCAAGCATTGTAAGAGACAGTTGGTGTTTTTTGTTTTCAAAAATTGAATATAATTTAAATAAAATATTAAATGATGTATAAGTATATAATTTTTACTGTTTTCAAATTACACTGAAGATGAGGCATACCATGGTCTGTAATTATTAAATAAAGTGTGTGTAAAAATCTAAAAAATTGTACATATTTAAAATTTAATATATATATATATATATATATATATATATATATATATTCTAAAAAATACTGTATATAAACGTTTCAAAAGCTATTTCTGAGTTTGCGTAATCATTCAGTAGTGTAAATTCGTGAAAATCACATTAAAACAATTTATTTGATGAAGAACAAAATGCAACAAATAAAAAGTAGGAACAAGATATATTTAAATTGAACCTAGTACATCGTTAATAGAATCATTTCACGATGCAAAAACTTTAAACCTGTTTTATTGACCTAAAATGTCCAATACACGATCTATTCGAGCATACGGGTTACACAAATTCGTTAGTGTATGAATGACATGACAGATAGTTTGGTATATTGTATAGCAACATCAAAACTTTATGGCCTTTCCGATAAAAATATACCGGGAAAAAATGTCATAGTTAAGCCTGACAAGGAGAGAGACATTAGGTTTACTCTTCAGGAATTTTGATGAAACTGAGCATGGTGATCTTCACAACCAAATACACAAATCAAATGCATCTATTATAACTTATTTTTTTACAAGAAAATGGATGTATTAATTATATGATCAGTCATTATAATTCACAAATAAATCATAACCGAAAGCTAAAAAGAACTCGGCTCGGCTATCTAGACATACCAACAGAGGACGTTTTGCGGGCAGATAAGAGCGTAGCGCATTTTTCGCAACTTATTTTTTTTTTAATTAAACGACTTCTCATAGGTCTATAATATTTTAGGGGATTCAGCTTGACTATCAACTCTCACCATGCGAAATTTCATCAAAATCCTAAAAGAGTAGGATCCTAGTAGAGAGGTTCTCCTCGTAAGCAAGAACATTGTACGAATTGGAGAATTTAAAAATTGATTTAAAGGTTGATAAAAGCAATCTAGATAGTTTTGGATCTCGGCCATAACGAAGCCTTAGACGAAAGACGAAGCTTAAGACGAACAATTGAAGAATTTCAACTAAAATGTCTTTATATTTTTGTCTCGTGATAGCACTTCTTACTTTCGGTACCATAGTGTTACTTATAAATATCCAAAGTTTTTAAGCCAATTTTTAACGGACGTCGTGGAAGTAGTTACTGCTTTCCTAAAAACCATGAGCAAGTGATCTATGCAAAACTATGAATCTGATTTGGTTTAAATTTTGTCGAAATACCAAAATGTTTTATACAAATTAAATATTTATATAATAATTTCAGACTCCCTCGTCGGATGACTTAGTGAAGATTCCACCAACTCAACCTTTGCGAGCGACTGTTCGTCTGTCTGTCGAAGGAATGAAATGTGAAAGTTGTGTGCGAAGCATTAAGGGTAATCTTTTTGAACGACCAGGTGTGCTTGATGTAGAGGTGAGAACAATTTTATTTAATTTAATAACTAATATTTTTGGCTGATTAGGATATATTGTCTATTAAACACAGTTCTTTGCAATACACGTAACAATTTTTTCTCATGGTCTCAAAGATCTTTGATTTTATATAATATTCACTATTTATTTATATTTATACGCAATCACGAGAAAAACGAACTTTATCGATTTCAGAAAATGAGTGACTTCACTCAGGTACACGTACAGTTTAAAAAATATAAATAAATCCGTCGCAATTGCAAATGTTTTCTTATATTAAAAATAAAATAAAAATATTAAAAGCAAAATAATAAAAAGTCAGTACAGCGTACAAAATTCTTTGTAATATTTTTTGTGTATCTAATTTTATTTATTCCCAACAAGTTAGGGTAGTTTTCAGCAGCTATTAGATAATTATGAACTTGCAAACTTCCCGAAGGAGAAGTTTGTTTTCATCAAAAAATCCGATTCGCTAATTTTATGTTTTCTCGACGTTTCAAGCCATTCTGAATCGATTGAGACCAAATTTGGAAAAAGGATGTGTGTGTGTATGAGTTTGTGTGTGAGTATGTATGTGTATGCGAACAGATTTTTTGCCGTAATTCGACGTTTTCTCGAAAACGGCTGGACTGATTACAAAAATTTAAAAGCCATTCGATGTATCTCTATGAGGACTATCGTGTCAGTTTTGCGCTACGATCGGCCGTCCACGTTTTAGCCCGCAATTCTGAATCATAGTAATAAAGTGTTAAAAAAAAATTTTTCGACGATTTTTATTATTTTTTTGACGATAGATACCATAGTCTTCTAGATCATACTGAAATATTACGTCAAAGTTTGCAAAAATTGTTTTCGTTTTTTTGGCATTTGTCAAAATTAGACCTTTAATCGACGTTTTCTTAAAAACGTCTGTACCGATTTCAGAAATTTAAAAGCCATTTGATGTATCTCGATGAGGACTATCGTTGTGCGACGATCTGCCAAGCCGTTTCTTTGCCATTTGGAAAAAAGTGTTAAACGTTTCGTCCACAGTTAAGCTCATACTACCGTATTGATTTTGAAAAATCAAAAACTGTTCGAAAGATATTAGTTAGGAATGATACTGATTAGTTTTAGGTGAAAATCTACCGAGCCGTTTCCTTGTAATTAACTGTTGAAAAAAAAATTAAGCCAATTTTTATGGAACTTTTTGTGGTGATATACATCATGGTCTTATAGAACTTACTGAAATATTGCGGCCTTACGACATGTAGTTTAATTTTAAAAATTCATCAAAGTTTGAGAAAATGAGTAGTTTTTTTGACGTTTGTTAAAATTGAAATTAGACGATTTACTTGGTATAACGATAGAGTACTTGGTCTTAATGAACATACTAAAGCATTAAAGTTCTACGGAAACTGGTTCAATTATAAAAATTGTTTATTTTTGAAAATTTGCTCTTAGAAAATATTCGGAGTTAACGTGTTTCATACTTTAATCACTCATAAATTATTTTATTGATTAAGTCGATTATTTACACATATCGGGAAGTTCATGTAACTTGCCTCAAGGCAAAATACCAATACCAACTAGGTTTATTATTGCAACTACTGATTATATGCAAGAAAATATAAAATATAAATGACTTAGATATTAAAAATACAGGATAAATGCATACAAGGTGAATACTAAAATGGTTTTAAAACTTTACAAAAATGTTATTTCTGTAAAAGTGATTTGTATAAGTAAACAAAGCATTAGCGCAACGAGTGTAGAAGTAAGTTAATAGTTGTTATTTTATAGAACAAATGTATCAGTTGTGAACAACCATTCAGTTTAACTAATGTTACTGTTATAGAATCTGACTGCGCTCGTTTAATATGAAAATTTTAACATTTTCACATTTCTTTAGAATCTTTGAATGAAAATGTTATCTATTTACTACCTTCATCACACATGATTCTAGAGAACAGCAGTTGATCTGATTTCAAATGTTGCATTTTGTTGATATTAATATTGTTAATTTTACAAATGCAGGTTTTATTACAAGAACGTGCAGGATTATTCACATACGATCCGGCAATTATAGAACCAAGGACTTTATGTAAAGCTTTAGAAGATATCGGTTTTCAAGCAAGGATTCCAACTCCTGGACCTGCAGAAGCAGTTACCGATTCTATATCTGAACTAATTAACGTCCAATCCTCTGTTTCTGGAGTTAAAACTAACGCATCAGGGATGAATGAAAATTATTCTAATATCAATATTGATCTGACACAAGATCTTTTACTCATAGGCGATGAGAGAGATCGTGATAAGCAACAAAATGAAGCCGAAAGTATTATAGAAGTTCAGGGCATGACCTGCCAAAGTTGTGTTAAGACTATTGAAAGTTAGTTATTGCGTTTGTTTTAATCGATCGTTATTTCGCATTGCTATTATATTATTTTTAATGTAATTTTTCAGGTATGATATCAGAAAAGACAGGTGTCTGTAGCATAAAAGTGAGTTTAGAACAAAAAATAGCTACAGTTGTGTTTAATGAAAAATTTATATCGGCAAATGAAATTTCCGAAAGTATAAATGATATGGGTTTTGAAGCCAGTGTAAAATTGATAAATGGCAGACCATTTTCATCTTTAAAAAAAGGTTTGATATATTCTTGTTTGTTAAAATTTTGTTCAAAAAATAAATAAAATAATACCAATACTTATATTTATTTTTAGATCCATCGCAAACGATGCCTTTGAAATCATTGCCTTCTGAAACTAGTATATCGTCGGTTTTCGATGGTATAAAAGATAAAAGTAATAAAAATAACCAAAAATGCAATTTGCACATATCGGGTATGACTTGTGCAAGCTGCGTCGCCGCTATTGAAAAGCATTGCAAGAAAATCTACGGTTAGTGAAAAATAATATAAATTGATTTAAATAAAAATATTGATAAATATTGCAAATTTCTTTAAATGATGCATTAAGATCAATACTAGCATTTATGTTAAATCTGCGAATCATTGAATATTATTTGTAGTTCATAACGTTTTTAAGGCTTGATCGGTTTTCCAAAAATCGATTTTGGAAACTATATCAATTTGGGCATACTTCTTTAAATACGCAGATATATGTAAAGTCACTTTGATTACCCTGGAACCCACATTAAAATATAATTTATCAACGAAGTATTGAATTGTTTTCCAAAAAACGTGGAGCAATCGATAAGTATTCCTTAAAACTTGCGCCCAATCGATTGGCCAGGATCAAAATGGCAATCAACATGTCAGAAGAAATGCTGGAAAGGCTGGGGAACAAGGGCGAATAGACGAATGGAAACAACTTAAGGAAGTATTGCCAACTAATAGCGAGGTTTTGCAGTTCAAGAAATCCGTAACGATTCCAAAAGTTTTCAACCACAATAGCGCCGCGCAAGGATATAGATTATAGAGAATATCTCGAAAACGCCCTTAAGGGGAATGCCATTGATAATTGAGGAAGTACTCTCGATGTGGTGACAGTGGGGTTACCTCCGATGTCAGAACTTTTGATGAAGTTATCTACCTTATAAAAACATCTTTCACACCGAACAAACCAGCGCTAATTTATATATAGAATTATTTGCGACACATCAGGACAAGATCACGTGATTTGTTTGTGTGTCACAAACAAGCATTATTTGCGCAACGTTCGTATAAGTTGCTTCTAAACTTGCAGATTGGCATGATTTACGGACTATTGGATATAAAAAATTGCGGGCGCGTTTCGCGTGCAGAGGCAATGCCTTTTGCAGAATTTTTACTAAAAGCCCGCGATGTTGAAGCAAATTTAAGCGAGGCGATGAAGAATAGCAGAAACAAGATGAGGAAAAAGAACAACTGCTCGTTCTTCGGAAAAACGGGGCATTCCACAATAGAATACCGCACACACTTCGCAAATCAACAAGTTTCGAAAAACAAAAGAATACTAAAATCTCTAGTAGTACTAGAGAAATCTACATTCTCTTATTACGATTCTGGTGTGAACAAGAGCAAATGCTCCATCACCAAGGACAAGGCTGTGTACACCTTCTGCAATAAAACACAAAGAAGGAAAAAGGAAAGGAAAGTTTTTCTCACAACAACGATCGTGCGAATACAGGTTATGGTAGTTCTGGAAGCAAGAAGGAACAACGCCTTATTAGGTATTGACTTTTTAAGCAAAGTTTGTCTGGGTTTGGATCTCAAAAGCAAACATTTGATAATTTTCGCACCAGTTGAATAAATATTATTTCATAAAACATGAATAGATCCAATAAGCTATGGAGGAAAATGAAATAAATCAGGTGAGCGAGGCAGCACTACAAATCGTCCCAACACCACACATAAAGGTTGACGATCTGATAATGCTGGGCTCGATCAAAAATGAGATGTTCTGTCGACACACCATAGACTTCTTTGAACCTGCTTCGAAATACCGACCGCTGCTCTGACGTTTAGCATAGCATCATTCACGGTGCAGGAAATAAGCCTGCGAGGGAACAAGGAAGTCAAACACGTTAGAAAGCACGACGAACCTGAGACGGCAGTAGCAAGACAAACTTGCTATAAATATCATAACTTAATGATATAAATATGATTTTGTATCCAGGGACTTTCCCTTAGTAATTACGCCTAACATATCTTGTTTAAAATGAGGTTATTAATGAGCCGATTCTGCCGTAAAATAGACCAATGTTATGGCAAGGCTACGTTACATTCTAGTTCTCATACAAAATCGTACTGAATCATAGATAAACAAGTATAAATACTAAAAAGTGTACTGAATACTGTCAAAAGCCACATGGTTGGTATGCAGTCAGGCACTATATACTTTTTATACTTTAGCAATATATATGTTGCTTAGACTTATGTTATTATTCACATTTATAATTATATAATTGTTAATTTTATAAGTTTTATATATTTATAGAACTTTTAGTCTTGTAATTCAATATAGCGGTGAAGATGGACCAAACCAAGACTCGAAACATTTGCTAGTATAATAAAGACTTTTTTTTAAACCACCCGAAGAAGAAGCCTATGTTTTCGTACAAAAATTCGATTTGCTAATTTTATGTTTTCTCGACATTTCAAGCCATTCTCAATAGAATAAGACCAAATTTGGAAAAAGTGTGTTGTGTGTGTAAACGGCTGAATCGATTTAAAAAATTCAAAAGCCATATGA